AAATGTTTCTCTAGCCAAGCTTCTGTCAGTAGTTGAATGCTAGAATACTATTAATAGTTTTCTGATATTATTCCTTTAGCTCTTATGAAATCATACAGGCTAGCTATTACTTCCCCTCTCTCCCCCTCACCCGCTTCCCTAAACTGAGAACTGAGACTAGATCAGAAAAAAATCTAGTGAATCTCGAATAAACTGAGCCACAGAACAGGTAGAGAAGAATACGGTGGCTTTTGCTCAGCACAATATTGAAATATATTCTCTTCCTCTGCTTTTGATGCTTCCCCTCAACTTCTGGTTTATGTCTAGTAGCTATATAACAGGACCATATAATACAGCAGTATTAGAATAATAAAAATTTAGTTTAAGAAAATATGGTTTACAAAATATGAACTCAAGTTCATCTGTTTAGATATTACAAAGACACAAACTCTGTCCTTAATTGAAAATAACCCTCCCCAAAATTAAATTCTTTGTTTATCAAAAGAAGTTAAAAACCCTAAAGTATAATGATTTAGTAGATACTGCGCAAAACCATAGAACTATGCAATGCATTTAGTCTTTCAGCAGTTAGTTCTATATCTTCTGAAGAAATGAAACAGAAAAGGCAGAGAAGACTGTAGCAAAGTCAGTGCCCTAAGGACCCTGAGGGCAAGTGTGAACGCACACACAAAAAAGTTTAAGAGACTTGCCCATGAACACTGTGTGAAAGCTGAGAGTATTGATGACAAATGGCTTGTAGGTAGAAGTATGCATAGAATAAGGCTTGCATACCACAAGTAATAACTGCTCTTTAAAGAATTTTTGAAGAGATTTATTTACACCCTTTCAGTACTGCTCATTAACCTTTCACTAGTAAAATCTAGCTCCACCAGAACTCATTGCTATTAATGTAAGGCATGTGAATAAAAGCTCCCAAGCAAGGTAGGAGGCAGTTAAGTACACTACCTTTGGTTCAGGCTCTTAGTCCTTTTATCATCTTTTCAAGAGTCATGCACAGCACATGTGACTTGTACAAGGACTATTTAAAAAAAATTTTTTTCCCCTGTGCACTGCTGTTCACAGCATCATATTTATGTAAACACACATTTGAAGTGCAATAAATTCAAGCATCGTCTAAAAGGCCAATCTTCCATTTATTTTTTCAAACTATTTCAGCCTGCCCAAACATTCTCTTTCCCCTTGATTTGCTCAGTCAGTTTGAGCATTTCCTCAGTTGAAGAAAAGCAGTATTTATTTGCAACCCCAACAGAATTATGCACCTTCAGAACACAAGTGGATACACAAATTCAATGAGGCTCAAGTTGTGGCAGTTTAAAATTAGCTGCCACAATGCACTTAAACTTTCTGACAGTCTGCATGTTCGTTCCTAGGGATACTTGTGCAAATATATTTTAAGAGCATAGAAGTAACTTTATTTTCATCTATTCTGCTTTGCTCTTTATTTAGTACTGTATTTAGACAAGTGATTGAACCAGGAGAAAAATATCAGAGTGATTAGAACAATAGAAGCATAAGATCATTATTAGTATTACAGTAATAGATCATTCATTCTTTGGAAATGCAAGCAGAGAAATCCTCCAGAAATAGTCCACTTGTCTTCACCCTCCTCAAGTGTGGCCCCCTGCCAGTCACCACTGGGATATGACAAGTGCATAAGTTTTCCAACTTCTCCAACCCATACTCAGATCATTAATTCTGAACTTAGTAAATTTGTCCTCACATTTTAAGTTTCTGCATCTGCTTCTATGCAGCTGTATGAATGTCCATCTGCTATTTTAGTTCTGTCTCATTTTTCTCCAAGATATTGTTTATACCAAGACCCACTAAAAAGGCATTTAAAACCCAATCTATACAACAGTATTATGCAGAACTAGACAGCCAGATGTCCATATCAGTTGAATGAAAGTTTCTTCACACAAAAGAACCATAGTAATTCAAACATAGAATGAATTATTTACAGGTTATGATGGACTGTTGGTTCATATAATAAAACATTTACTTTTCGATCTGAGGGGCCTTAAGGAAAAAAAGAAAGTATGTTGAGATTTGGAAAGATTAATGAGATTTGAGTAGCCAAACACCAAGGCAGATTATTAGTTTTATCTCAAACTATAAGAGACACTCAAATGCAGATGCAATCCAGTCTTTTTTTCAATAGTTGTAAACATTTTTTGAAAGGACCTGATCCTTTCTACACTGAGACAGTGGGTCATCTCAATGGTAACAGCAAGCAGCATATTGTTTTCCACTTGCTATGTAGCAAGAACATCCTTGGAATAGCAAAAGGATTGCCTAGGGATTATTATAAACAAAGGAGAAGGAATTAAGAGCAGAGATGTTTAACAGAAGAGTATTTCCAAACATTGCTGTATTCCATGGTTAGCAGATGTTTTCAACTACAGCTCTTTGAGAGGTTCAGAAAGTAGAACACTTACTCTACGCGTAGGCAGACATTTGAATTTATCTTAACCTAGCACACTAGGGAATTACTGAGATCTTGGAACACACATGAAGCAGCCTCAGCACAAGGCACATCAGCTTGAACCCAATTTAGCATCCTCCACCTCAGGAGTCCTGCATGGCAAATGGGGAACCTGTCCAACTCACCGCATTAGAAAGAACAGAGAACCCATGCTATTACATGATAAATACCTATGAAGTAATTATCAAAGTGAGGAAGTTAGCAGTATGGGAAAATAAGATAAATTTCTTTCATGCACAATACAAAATTTAAGAGACCTTCCCCACTCCCCTCCCTGCATATTTGAGAGATTTGATTACCTTTTTCAAGAATGTCTCGCATGCCTCTCTTGTTTTAGCACCTTTAAAAGGCCATTAGAAAAATACCTTCAGGTACACATACTGCTGTGAAAAAGTCTTTAACATCCTATTCATCTACACAGGTTCTTTTACCATTTTCAATTACAAAGTAACTTCTCCTTAAAACTGCTGTGCTAATCTGAGAGTTGCCAACAATAGTCTAAACACAGGTTATTGATTGGCTTATCTCTTGCAAAGGACAAGAAAAAAAAAACAAATAAAAAAAACCAACAAACAAAAATGCAGGCAGCAGTAACAAAGACAGTCCTTTTCTTGCAGTCTTGGGAGATTATGTGCTATAAAGCTATGCGAGAAAAATTCATAAAAATTTAAACATAATAATACTTCTAAAGACTAACAAATGAGAAAAAAGACCACTGGAAACTAACACCCACACAAGACACATCCTCTGAAATCGAATCTTACTCTCTGCCTTAAGCTTTGTCCAATGAACAAAAATTGTCCTCTAGCCTAGACTTCCCCTATTAGAACTGTGGGTGCTTTGAAAAGGATCTATCAACAGATTTCTTACATCTGCTTCTTTAAACTTATACCCACTTACTAAGGCTTAATAGGTTGCACCTGCACTAATGAGTCAATAAGGAATCCATTTAGCAACTCCCAACAGATCCTGTTTCTAAGAAGAACTTATCACCATGGTACAATAACAAAGAAATCACAGTTGTTCATTTTGCTTGCAGAAAAAGCTTTTTAAAACACTGAAAACTTAAAAAAGGTATTTCACAGTGAGGTTAGGATTCAGAAATCTTAAAAGAGCTATCTAGGATCTAAGACTGATTGTTTACTTTAAAATCTGTTCTGAATTAGCGGGCTTTGGGTCCTTGTATTGAGACTTAAACTACCAAATATTAAAGCACATATATCTAGTTTATAACAGCTCCTCTAGGAACTGAGTTACAGATAAAAAAAATAAAATAAAAGTAGCTCCTGAACAGTGGTATCTATACCACAGAGAGTCCACAGTCATTACAAAATGATATATGTCTCAGTAAAGAATGAGAAGCAGCATTAGCAAATCATATTGCCTTTCATGATCATTAACTGCTGGTAATATTTAATATCATAACTATTAATGATAGTGCTATGAAGGTGCCTTATGTTCCAACCTCAACCAGTGATTACTGCAGTACAAAAGAGAGAAAGTGAGTATAAAGTTAACATAAAATAAAGCACTGCACTGTGAGGACAAATGTGTATGTCATGGAGTGTGTTTACTAGATTGTTCATTTGCTATACTGCAGTATATATTAGTTTCTTAGGCATAAGTAGCATAAAGTTTTGTGACATATCCAGCCTCACTTCCATCTATTTCCAGTTTTATTATGGGTTTTAACAGCTATACAAATTTCAGCTTCAATGCATCAAACAAAATGCACTGATTAACCTTCAAAAATCCTATTATTTTTCCAGATTTTTTATTCATTTAAACTTGAAATAGAGTTGCCATCTTTAAATTTCTGAAATCTTGTGTACAAGCATTAACTAGGTAGAAAGAGATTACTCATGATCTATAATTTGAACTGTTGCCTACAGATGAAAAGATAGGCACTGGCTCTAAGAGTTATCCATCTCCATTACCAGCTAGATGCATATACTGGTTGTAATCTTTTTATTGAATTGAACACCTTGAATTGAACACTAGTAACAATAATTTCCTGCTACTAGTGGATAATTTAATCCAACTGCTCAAACTATTAGATATATTTTGCAAATCATCACTGGATTGTTCAAAAATATTTATTACAAAACACGTTTGTTTTATTAACCAACTTTGAACTGGTATGCCAGGACATGGGTTATATAATGATTATTGATCATTTATGTATTTAATGAGATATAGGAAGTTCAGACAAAAAGGATTGAAATTTCTTTTCCAGATTCCAAGAACAGAAGAATCTCCATGAGATAATTCCATAAACCATTTTTGATTGGTTCACGGAAATTTCTTTAGTATTTTCCATATCACAGCTATAACATTTCACATTTTAAATTATTAATTTGCAAAACATTGCGGGTTTTTTTGCTTTGTTTTGTTTTTTAACTGAAGAAGGTCCTAAAATGGGAAATTCTAAGATGAAGCATACATTAGTTTTATTAGTTTTATTTTAATACTACAATGATTGAATATATTTCTTTTCTTTTTCATAGTTCCTGAAATAAAAATCACAAAGACATCCAACAAGATTCCATCCAGGATTGTTAATGAAGAGCAAATTTCCAAGGCCTGGCCATTTTCTCTGATTTGTGTTCTGTGCCCTCGTGCAAAAGATGTCAGGAAACACAACTAAGAACTCGATCAACCCTCACTCAGCTCCTCTAAGTTTGTTCCTAGGTAGCATTTCACTGGTCACTGTTGTCATGAACATATTAGTACTATGTGCTGTCAAAACTGAAAAGAAGCTGCAAACAGTAGGCAATATATACATTGTCAGCCTTTCTACTGCAGATCTTATAGTTGGTGCAGCTGTTATGCCACTGAACATTGTTTATCTTGTAAATGGCACATGGATTCTGGGCACACCAGCCTGTTTCTTCTGGTTGTCAATGGATTATGTGGCTAGTACTGCATCCATCTTCAGTCTCTTCATATTGTGCATAGACCGCTATCGTTCAGTTCAGCAACCACTAAAATACCTTAAGTATAGAACAAAAATGAGAGCGTCCTTAATGATTTTGGGGGCTTGGTTTCTGTCTTCTATGTGGGTCATCCCAATTCTAGGCTGGCCTGCGTCTGGTAAGAGTGAGGAAGGAACACAGAACTCAACCAAGTGTGAAAAGGAAAGCATACCCAAATGTGAAACTAATTTCTCTAAAGTCATGTGGTTTAAATTGTTGACAGCCATTATCAATTTCTGCATGCCCTCTATCATCATGCTATGGCTCTACTGGAAAATATTCAGGACTGTCCGAGAACATTGTCAGCACCGACAGCTCATCACTGGATCATTACAGTCTTTCTTAGCAAACAGAAGCAAGACAAAAGATGAGCAAAAGATGCACCCCCAAAAGCAAATCTTGGATGAAAATATCCCTCCCAAAGACCAACACAACTCCACTCAGCCTAAAAAAATGGAGGCAATACTTCATTTAGGCAATATCGACAAGTCTGCAAAGACTTTTGATAGCAGGAGCAACAGCAAAGTTTTCAAATGGAACTGTTTCCCTCTCACCACTGCCGAATCTAAGCCAGGCCTGGATAAATCAGGAAAAAATCATGTCTGTGTTGTAAAGGAGGATCAGAATGAAGAGGAAAGTGACTTTAGCAATGCATCAATTGACCAGACTTCTGCAGAACCGGCTCCCTGTAGAAATGACTCTGATCCTAACCCTGAAGGAGCATGCGGCCCTCAGGGAAAGACTCAGGACAAGGATGTCACCGGACTTACTTACCTGAAGAAAACGTGGCAAAGACTGCATAGCCATTCTAAAAGCCATATTCAAAGACTATATGTGAGTAGGGAGACGAAAGCAGCTAGGCAGTTAGGGGTCATAATGGCAGCCTTTATTTTGTGCTGGATTCCCTATTTTATATTATATACAGTTATAGCCTTCCATAGTTGTAAAGAATTCCCCAACTTACACATGTTGACGATATGGCTTGGCTATCTGAACTCCACTTTAAATCCATTCCTCTATCCTCTTTGTAATGAGAATTTCAAGAAGACATTCAAAAAGATCCTTCACATTCACTGATAGTGTAGCTTTGGACTGTTTTTTCTGAGAAAAAAAACAGTTCCTAAGTTCAACCAAACAAAACATTCCATTTTGAAAAACAAACTCCATGGACAAAGTAGGTGGCTTTGGAAAAGCCTAATTTATGAACAAGTGTCGGTAAAAGTAGGAAAAATGCATGTAATAGATTTAGCATGTTTGAAGAGGAACTATTTTCATCCAGGAATACTTAAAACTTGGGACCAGTCTCAGAACTGCTGCACTATTGTTTGTACTTTACAGTTTGAGATTTCCTCTTTCAGCATGTACAACAAAAACTGAAAATACAAATAGAGATCATAGAATCCTTAAGGTTGGAAGAGACTTTTAGAGATCATCTAGTCCGAACCCCCTGCACACGCAGGGTCACCTAGAGCACGTGGCACAGGGCTGCGTCCAGAGAAGGAGACTCCACAACCTCTCTTGGCAGCCTGGTCCAGTGCTCTGTCACGCTTACTGTCAAGAATTTTTTCCTTAATCTTCAGTGATTATAAGATATTCAACTGTGGAAAAGGAAGATATAGAATATGGTTTCTGTGATTGGCCAAATAACTATATTTTTCTTTTTTGATTTACTCTTGTAAACATGGGAATACATTTCTTGTATAGACAGATCTCTTGCAAAAGAAGGTATATTCCACAGACTAAACTGAAACTTTTTGAGACTATTTATTTATTTATTCCTTTCTCCAAATCATGCACTTCTGTGAATTGTCAAGTCATACTGTATTATACTATACCTCTTTGATATCATGCTGCTTTTATTTACACCAGTATCTGTTAACTTCAAAAAAAAATAAAAATAAAAATAAAGGGTCCTGGGTATTATATTAAGACTTCCCAAACTCAACATACATTCACTGTCTATTCAGGAAGGTTATGCTGCTGTTACTAAACTTGCCATATGTACTAGGTTATGGATAACATTTATATTTTCTTCCTACAAGTAGGTAAATAATTAAGCATGCAGTCACAAACTGATTCCTTCTTGTAATAGGCAAACTCTTCTTACAGTAATGAGGCAAATTCAACAGCAGCAAATAAAGTTTGCAAAACAATAAATAAAATCTATGAATTGTGTTTACCTTTTCTACACTTCATATTTATTTGCATTTTATAATTCATGATATTAAATATTTCAGGAGTCACATAAGCTCATAAGTTAATTTAGATTGGAAGGGACCTTACGAAGTCATCCGGTACAATATACTGCTCAAATGAGGGTTAACCGACATTACATCAGGTTGTTCAGAGTGTTTTCTACAAATGAAATAACATGCATTTGCAGAGAGCTTCACTTGGAAAAGCAGGAAGGCAACCTTGACCGAGAGGTTTCAAGCAAAGAGTGAGGCTACCAATTTTGAGAATTCACTTGCTCAGCCATTAGTTTAACTATTTCTAAGGGTAAAGCGTAATACTCAAAAGTAGACATGCTCTGCCATGCAATATGAATCAATCACTACTCTGTAAGTGCAGTTAGCTATAGGTTTATTTCCAACTAAAGGGAAAAAAACAGCATTTTAGCAAGAGAGTACCTCATGATATATGTCAAATGGGCTAACTCATCAGCAAGCTTACAACTTATTAGTACATCAAAATTAAAAGCATATATAGCCTGAGGAGGGGGAAGGAAAATCTGACCCAATTGTAGTTGAGTGTCTTGACACCAGGTTGTGGCACAATAGCAAATCATTCCTGTTCTTCTGTGATAAAACTAAGTGAAAGAAAGGTTTTGAGCAGACATTGTGGAGTTGCTCACTTTTGGGGCAACACTGCTATGTCACTGCCTTTATGGTGTTAGTTTTAAAAAGAATTATCAGGACTAGAAAACTTCTACAGCCAAAGTCACATATGTTTATAATGGTAAGTTTATGTAAACTTTTCTGTACATTTGGGAGAAGCTTAGTAAGACATCTTCAAGGTTCAGTGTAAAAATTATTTTCTCCCCGTGCCATTCTGTCATGTTGATGAATTTATCACTTCCAGAATAAAGTAATGTATACTTGTTTCTGAAATTGCCCAGGTCATCAGCAAATATCCGACAGAATTGAAACCCTTTTAACTGGTGGGATAATTTGAAAAGATGATCTGTATAATTTATTTTTTGAAAGAAAAAAAAATCTGTGTTCTTTCTCATCTTGAGCAACTTAGAGTCTCTCTGTCCCACATGTGCGTGTTTTGTAGCAATTATGATATGATATGACACCTAGGAAAAGGTTTGCAAGATGCTTATAAATTCTGGATATAATGCGCTAAGTAAATTTTAGATATAATATACAAAGTACTATTATTTTCTCTGAGTCTTCCATCTCTGAACTAAACATCTGAATGTTACTTGCTATATTTTAAGAATTCAGTATTAAATAAAGCCCTAATATCTTTGCATTTCCATAAATGGATACTTTGATGTTTGGAAAATAAATGGTACAGGAATAAAGTTAAATTCAGTCTATTTGAGTGTATTTAAATTCAGGGATCACTTGATTATGGTCTGAAGTACTATGTAGAAATAACCACAATTAGGGAATTCTAATATAGAAAAAATATTGCAAAATAGAATATGGAAGCAGCTAAATTCATCAGGAATTAAGTCAGCTTTCACACAGCAGGAGCAGCATCTACATGAGCAACAGAATACACCCTCTCTTGGAACTCTTCCACTACAATGCATGCAAACGTATACTCTGCCTCTCTCAGACAGGTTCATAGTCAACAGACAGGCTCATACTCACAGCTGTTCTGCTCTTTCTGTTGCAATACACCAGAGTAATTATGGCCAAAATGGATAGTAGTTTAGGTAGACCCTGGTACTAAGGATATAAAAAAGCAGCATACTAATTCAGCCATGGTTACCACTGTGTAAACATGCTTGTCTAAGGAATACTTAGAGTTATCAAGCGTTCTATTCTCTTGATTATGACAGTTGCCTTTTTGGACTTTAAAAGTATTAATATATGAAACAGCAATCAAAAAAAATGGAGAGTGGTTTTAAAGTGATTAATATTGTTATAAAGACTACCTATGGTATGACTGAAGACTATTTTAACACACAACAGCTAAACCTAAGTCAAAAAACCTGCTTGAACTTCTTCTGTCTTCTTTTATCCATAGTCTGAGTGTAACTGTAGCAATTACAAAGGAAGGGGATTAAGCTCCGCTAACGTGATACATATAGGTAATAATAAGATGGGAAAACGGGATACCGCTTATTTTAAACTTCCAATTAGCAAGATACATAACAAGCTTTACTAATATGTTTTACTAATGTAGGCATTCCAAATAGCTCTAGATGTCAGTGGAACAGAGAGAGGTAAATTAAGACCAGGAACAGAAAAGTTGGCTACACTGTAGGCCACGTCTCAAGCCTCGAGAGAATATTCCAGGTGTGGTTTCCTGTAAAAGATCTTCCATGATTAATAAATGAGGTCAAAGATCTCACAGTTCAAAAGAAAACAGATTCAATGGAGTACGTTACTTTATTTAAGGTGTGGTGAAAACAACCAGTCTCAATTTTAAGAGGCAGAAAAAATATGATCTATTTTTTTTCTATGTCAGTGGTGACATCTAGTGGTTGGTGAGATGATTTGGGACTTGATATCATATATTGTAGATCATAAACATTTATGAAAACAGGGGTGTGACTAGCAAATGGGTGCAACCTACTACAAGTTTCACTTTCTATATTATTTTTAGGAAAAACTGCACTCAATAAAGGAAACAGTGTTGGAGTACATTGGATTTGCTGCTGAAGCATATCTTCTGGCTTAATTTCATCATCCAAAAACTCTCCCTTACATATCTGTCTGAGAGACAGTGGAGCCTCTCAGGCAGCCTGTCATAGCATTTAACCAAACTCATTTTGAAAACTTTTACCCTGTACTCACCTGGAATTTTCCGTGTCGCAATATCTGCCCAGCAATTCTGATGTTCTGCAACTCTCAGAATTTGTCTTCCCTTCACCCCCACTTTGGGTTAGGTTTGCCTGTGATTAAATCCCCTTTAACCATCTTTCCTCCAGGCTATGCAACCCCAGCCCTCCCAGCTTCTCATATCATACACTCCAGCCCCCAACAGGACCCTCTTTTGGACTCCTTCCCATTTTTATTTCTCGCTTGTGCCACGGCACAGAACTGAACACACTCTGGATGTGGTCTCAGGACTGCAGAGGGCAGGGGATGGTTGCCCTCCCTCTCAGACCTGGCCACGCTTTTGCTAATGCCGTGGCAGTGCGCCCTTATCCTCACAGCGGGAGGACGCTGCTCACTCACGTTCAGATGGGTCTCTTCAGGAGAGCTGCTGCCCGACAAGCACATCCCCGGCACATCGCAATGGGTAGGTAACGCACGGTGTCAGTCTCTCCAAGGTGCAGGGCTCGGTGGTTGCCAGTTTTGACCTGCACGAGGCTCCCATGAGTGCTGTCCTCCAGGACTCGCGGGTGCCCCTCACTGTTTCAACTGCCTCCAGTTTGGGTCCTCTATGAGCCTGAGACGGGCTCCATGCACCAGCTGGTGCACAAAGATGTTGGGCAGCATCAGCACCAGTGCCATAACCTGCCACCTTTCAGGCTTTAGTGGCTGGGCCCTACTCTGCACCCAACAGGACAGGAAAGTTTTCTCTGGGTTGTGGCCTACCCTTCCACCCATGTCTCCCTCCAACTCCTCTGGCAGCTGTCATGGAAGGGGAACGTAAAGATTTTGGGGGTGATGCTTATCTTACATTAGGGATAAAACATTGGTCACAACTGTAAGTGCTAAGTATCAGCCACCATAATCAGCTCAATGATCTTTGTTGATGTAAAAAATGAAAGATTTCCCATACCTTGCATTTTACATGATCATCTTCAGTGTTTCAGCTTACAAAATATGGTTAAGAAAGTCCATGGATACTTTATTAGCACATCAGGACCATTTGCTATTGTTCAGCCCTGTGCACCTTGTGCAGATTCACACAATGAGAGAAAGAACAGTTTTTAAACCATGTCACTTCACTTTTCATTGGTGCCATGAGCTGCAGGACTTTAGGCTATTCACATGCTCGATGCAGCCAGTGC